GAAGATGTTGTTAAATAGAATTGGAGGTGTCTTCTAGGTTTAAAAGAGACTTAAAAGATGTCTGGTTAATTTTGAAGGGCTTCTATAAAATATATTGTATCTCTTACTTTTACAATCATTACTAAATGGAAATATTGTTTGTATAACTGATAACTGTAAGGCTAGTCTTGTTTATTTCTGTTGTGTACTTTCAAGCAGAAATTGCTTCTGAAATCTCCTGTCTCAACAATAAAAGCAGGACAATGCAGGAAAAAGGAAAAACTAGAGATGAATGCCTTTACAGTATGCCTTAGATCTGCAAAGCTCATAAAAAATATGCTTCCAAATTCTGGCAGTAATGACTGCAGGGAAAGGTTGTTTTTGCACAGTATTTAACTAATGGAACTGAATTTAAAGGAATAGTACACCCAAAACATGATTAGCCTTCATTTTCTACTCACCCCCATGCTGAACAAAACTCTGGAGTACTTTTTTGATATCTCAAATGCATCTGGAGATCTGGGAGGCTTCTTGCTGTCTGCTGACATTCAAATAATGGAGGTCCATGGCGCCCGAGACAGAAAGGTCCACAAAAGTCCACAAAAACGTGTCAATATTCCTCCATACTGCTCGTCCAATGTAATCCAAGTGTCCTGAGTGGGTAGCATCCAGAATTTACTCGAAACGAAGTCATTTAGAACGTTTTAGAGCATAAACAGTAGTGTATAGGATTTCCTAATAGCGCCCCCATGCGCGCTCAGGATTCTACGGAAGCCGGCAGACCAAACCGGAAGAAAGTGCGCATTCAGCGTCTGCTCTGCCGATAATGCAAGCGTAGAAGAAGAAATGTGCTGTTTACCTGTGCAAAGAAAGAAACAACGAAAGAAAAATGTCTGAGGACTTCAGTGTTGAGGAAGAGCATGAGTTCTTTGCCGAGCTGAATGCGCTGGTTTGGTCTGCCGGCTTCCGTAGAATCGTGAAATACACAACCAGCATATCTGGAATCAATGACAGAGAGCGACTGGGACCAGAAGTTTATTAATTTCTCCCCATTGATTTTCATTCAAAATGTTTTCGGTCCCACCGGGCTCACTCGAAGGGGCGTGCATACCGCCACCTACTGTTCATGAGTGTGTAGCAACATTGTTTTACATCTATTAAATTCTATTTTTTAATTTTGTATTCTGAAGATAAATAAATATCTTTTATATTTCCTTTATTTCCCAATAATCCTTTAAGACGCGACAGTGGCGTTGGATGGAGGAGTTTGCCCTGTAATCGAAGGGTTGACGGTTCAAGCCCCGACTCCGACTTTCATTGTCGTTGTGTCCTTGGGCAAGACACTTCACCTGCATTGTCTACTGATGGTGGTCAGAGGGCCCGGTGGCGCCAGTGTACGGCAGCCTCGCTTCTGTCAGTGAGCCCCAGGGCAGCTGTGGCTACAATGTAGCTTGCCACCATCAGTGTGTGAGTGTGTGTGTGAATGGGTGAATGAATGTAGTGTAAAGCGCTTTGGTCAAGTCTCCTAACTTGAATAAAGGCGCTATATAAGTACATGCCATTTACCATTTACCATAAGACTCCATTCTTGGCCTATCCTTTCAACTACTCTTTTCAATTTCTGCCTTTCAGGTTCATATGTTTTACAGTTCATCAATACGTGTTCTACATTTTCTATCTCTCCACATCCTTCACATTTATCATTATTTTTCCTACCTATTAAGTATAAATTGTCATTTAAATAAGTATGACCTACTCTTAATCTGATCATTATTATTTCTTCCCTTCGTTTTCTCTCATTAATATTTCTATTTAATACTGACTTTTGTACTTTATATAACCTTCTTCCTTTTTTATCTTCATTCCACCTTTTTTGCAATTTTTCAATTTCTTTCCTCTTAATAAATGATTTTCCTTTCCCTAAAGGAACTGTAATTGTTATTGCCTCCTCTAAAGCCCTTTTTGCTAATTGGTCTGCCTTTTCATTTCCTTTTACCCCTTCATGTGCTGGAACCCAACAAAACCAAATATCAATGCCACTCCTGTATAATCTAAATAAACTGTGCTGAATTTCTAATACTAAATCTTTCCTATTATTTCCTTCTCCCTGAATACTTTCTAAAACTGCTTTGGAATCCGTGCAGACCACCACCCTGTCTGGTCTGACCTCCTCCACCCATTGGAAACTCAGTATAACTGCCACCATCTCTGCTGTGAAAACAGATAGTTAATCTGAAATTCTTTTAGAAATGTGTATTTTGAACTCTGGTACATATATTCCTATTCCCACACACCCTTTTAAATTCTTAGAACCATCAGAATATATTTTAAGGTAATTATAATATGAGTTTGCTTGTTGGAATCATTAACTGCTTTAAAAAAATATTATTATTATTATTACTATGCTTTTCAAAGAATTTAAAGTTAGAAAGTATCAAAACCCATTTAAATGCAGAAACTGATTGAAATTATTGATTTTCCCAATAAAAGTTAGAGAAATCTCGGCCATGTTTAAACCAAAACGTTACAGTTTCACATTATCTTGAAAAATCTTTGCAAGAAACGAACAAGCAAGTGAATATGTACATTCCCTGAGTAAATATTCTGACAACAAACTATACATTTCTCACTAGCAATGTAATCAAAACTCATTTTAATGCAAAAACAAACTCAAGTTATTAATCTTTCCACAAAAAAATGAGCGAATGTCGGCCATATATATATATTTTTTTCTTCTCCCAGCTGGAATCTCGAAAGTCACGTGACTAGGACGTAAAACAATAGAAAGCGTATAGGCAGAAGAAATGTAACAGTACCACAAAAAAATGGCCGTTAATGTACCTCCACTACGTTTTGCAGTGTGGACCAACGTAGTGGAGGTACATTTTCCCATGAGACTGGGCTACTTCATCATATAACTATTATAGATTACGTAAGACTTGACCTTTTTTATTGCACCTCCCCTCATTTCTGAAAACAGATGAAACTACAGTATCTCCTGCTGTTTTTATTGTGCAGTGTAACTCACCACAGCAGGTTTTCCCCCAACTAAATGTCCCCTCCCTGCTGTGATTTGCTTATTTTCTGCTGTAGGTGCGCAGTGAAAAAATTGCAAATCTTCCTTTACAATGTAAGCTTGTATGAGCAATGCAAACAACAAAGTGAAGAGGGCAGGTTTTTTAATATGTGAATATGTATATATATATATATATATATATATATATATATATATATATATATATATATATATATATATATATATATATATATATATATATATATATATATATATATATATATATATAGAATCATTACACTCAGAGTAAATGTCTTTTTTTTTTACAAAAAAAGTCGTTAAAACAGTTAAAGATACAGTCAAGGATTTTTTGTGAATTTTTGAAAAAACCTGCCCTCTTCACTTTGTTGTTTGCATTGCTCAAACAAGCTTACTTTGTAAAAGAAGACTTGCAATTTTTCCAGTATGTTAAACTCACCACTGGTAAGTGAAAATGGGGACAAACATGTATGTATGTATGTATGTATGTATGTATGTATGTATGTATGTATGTATGTATGTATGTATGTATGTATGTATGTATGTATGTATGTATGTATGTATGTATGTATGTATGTATGTATGTATGTATGTATGTATGTATGTATGTATGTATGTATGTATGTATGTATGTATGTATGTATGTATGTATGTATGTATGTATGACATACATACATACATACGTACCTACCTACCTACCTACCTACCTACCTGTCTGTCTGTCTGTCTGTCTGTCTGTCTGTCTGTCTGTCTGTCTGTCTGTCTGTCTGTCTGTCTGTCTATTTATCCATCCATCCATCCATCCATCCATCCATCCATCCATCCATCCATCCATCCATCCATACATACATACATACATCCATACATCCATACATACATCCATACATCCATCAACTCACTTCTCTACACACTGATGGTTATTACATTAACATGTAAAGCCATATAAGACTTTGTTGGGTTTTTTTTACATTCTTGTGGTCCTAACTTCTATTAAAGTAGAATTAAAGAGAAAGATGCATAATGCCATAATTTGCTTTGAACCTAAGATTCTCTGATTTGAAAATTTTTTAGATTCTTAGGAATAATCTTGCCAAAACATTTAGTTTTATTGTGTATTTTAACCTATCCTAACCCAGCTTACCTTTATTTATTTGGCTTTTTGGGAGCTCACAGAATCAAAGAAAGAACTACTAATGCTGACGAGGAAAATGAAGAACAAAAATGCTCTTATTTCCAGAAGAAATAGAAAAACAATTGAAAACCTCAACCTTTTGGCCTTTTATCTTTCCAAAGTCTTCAGTAAGTATATTTTGCATATAATCTATTCTTTAACCAGTTTCTTGTTGGGAGAATGCATTCACACATAGTTAGCTCTGACTGTAGGAATATTGGCTTACAAGTACCCTTGAATCTCTCTCTTTGGAGCTTTGCTAAATGGCTATATAAAGCAGGTTTTCCGAAATTGTCTTGATGGCAGAAGCCACAGCCTTTATACAAAGAAAGGCAAAATGTGCTGTTTGAGGAGAAACTCAACTAAAGTGAGTCAACTGGGCCCCAACAGGTCTCTGGCTCCTAACAACTCCTATCATTCACCCTGATACAAACAAACACCCCCTCCCCTTGTCCAGTAGTCAGAATCCAGAGATGAACTTGCTTTCCAAAAGGCCGTACTACCTTGGACTATGGTTTCAAGTGAGGGAATGCACCCAGTGGGACCTGAAACCGAACCACCTGCTGCACTCCCCCATTCCCCTCCCAAACTCCCAGTGTTCTCCGTTTACCAAACAACAGTTTCTAGGAACACTCAGCCTACGCTGCTATTTGCCATTTGGCACGGATGGGGTGTGTTTGACTGTATGTGTGTTTTTGTGTTGCATGTGTGACTGACCATCTGTCCTTTCAGGGGGTTTTCTGTGTATAAATGTGTGTGAGAGCGTGTTATAAGGGGTAAAGAGACAAGCAGCTGAGGTCTAATGAGCTATAATGAACTCTAATAGTGGAAAACTCATCTAGGAGCCATGACCTTGGCATTATGACTAATATACACTACCATAACACATCTAAAAACAGCCTGGGAAACAAGCTAAAGCATGCCATCACCTGACATGGTGGTAAGTCGCTGACCATATTTCATGGGAAGTGTTGAATTACTTCAGGGTTAGCTGCAATTACAGATTTGTAGTAAATCCACAAATTGGACTTAGGAGGCCTGATCTGATGTGAATACCACTGCAATAGGAGAATTTATGGGAATAGCACAGAGAGGGAAGCATGGAAATAATGTTAATGTTGTCACTTTAGAAGGTGCTTTGCTCATAATATGCCAAATGTCTTTCAGTTGATGTTTTAACCTAAAGCTTCATAGATGACGGTGAGTTGTTGTGGGTGGCCTAAGTAGGAAATGATCTCTTAGTGTGGATACTGTGATTGTTGGCTGCATGTTCTCACAACCAGGAAACCTTAATGTTCCGTTAGATTCATATAAATGTTTGGTTGATTCATTAAACAGTAGGAAACTAGTCTATACAGTAGCTAATTTGTTCCCATCATTGTTAGCAATGTTATAGCAATGATAAATCCTAAAGTCTTTGGGCTTCTTGTGGTTCTTTGATTGCTAGTTTGGCTTTTACAAATATTGGTTTATGTCAGCATGAATGCAGATTTTTGCACACTAATGCTCAAATCTTCTTCTTTTGAATGAGGATCTAAATATTTATGCCATTACCATCTGTTGGCAAACTCAGAGAGCATGATTGTAATTAGTTGACTGACCATGCTGCACTGCATGAAAAGATCATTTTGTTTTCAATAGAAACAAGCAACCTCGCTTAAAGTAAAAAGATGCTAAAATCTTTTTTGTGGCACTTCAATTTCCCCTTTTTTATTACAGACTGTAAACTTAAGGGTGCAAACACTATTGATCCTACAGTACATTCAAACTGCTAGACCTTTCGGAGAGATGATAACTATTTTTCGCTCCCGTTGGTCACGTTACTGCGGCTCCCCACACAGTGCCCGCGCCATCTTTGTTCTCTCTCGCCCCCAAACAAATCCTGTTATGCTTAGCAACAACAGCTCACGCAAAACATCCTGGAGTATATCTGCTTGTCTAGTGACCCTGGTTGCACACTCCTTTTCAAGAGACATTGTGAGAAATTTTGAGTCCACCACTTTTTCATCCAATAGACATTCAGACCCTCAAAGAAAATGTGACATACAGCTTTTGAACTCAATCTACTCTCAGCCCAAACCCGGAGCAGGCACAGCCATATTTTTTTGAGAGGAAATTGTCTATACTAAGTTAAAAATGTAAGATTAGTTAAATGAATCATATATGTAATGCTTTTGGAGTTATTTTATTTCCTTTCAGGAAAGACAGCCAAGAAGTCAAGAAACATTTAGGGTTTTACTGACATGAGAAAGACATGGGAAAAGATAGATTTACTGTAGGTACTCTTTCCAGCAGGGTCCTTAGTGGAAAAGATGAAGGGAGCAATGTTAAAAACGAAGGTGATGATGGGTTGGAGGAGGGTGGCAGATTGTTGGAAGCAGACAGAAACATGTATGTAGAGATTACAAATGCAGAGACATGGATGATGATTGGCCATGATGAATGGCGTATCATGGGAGTGATAGGTTTGCAGCAAGAGGACATTGGCCAATTATTGGATGAGAGATAAGTTTGAGTCAAGTCTTCCAATCTGAATTTTTGCCCTGGCATTATTTACAACCCCTTTAACTATAAATTATATGCTAAGTTGAGCATTTATCTTGCTGCTATTCAGAGCTGTTTGACCACAAATGATATTATATTATTATTATTGTATTAACACATGTCATGAAGATTTAAATATAGTTCATAAAATGTTTTATAATTTCACACTATATATTCACTGTATGCAAAATGTGGTTAAGAGTAGTAGGCGGACACAGGTGAGGAAGCATCAATGGCTTGCAGACAAAAGCCTACCTTCTGTCCATAACAAATGAAAAATCTCATTGGTTAAACATGGATTATTTTGGAACATTGGTTAAACATGGATTAGTTTTATTAGGTGTACATCATATGAATTCAATATTTTACATGGTATAACCTTTAATCAAACATTTTGTCAGCTACTTCTTGTAAATCAACAAAATTGCTCTAAAATTCCTGACAAGATGCCTAATGATAGGCCTACATTTCTATTCCATTTTCTTGGAATGATCTTGCTCCCATTGTATGTTTTGTGTCACAAATTTCTCCGTCTCCAAACTCAGACGGCCGGAAATGAGCTGAAAGGCCATCTGGACTGCAGCTGATTTTGGAAGTGCAGGGTACACACTGCAACACACGCTCCACCTAAATCACCTTTGAGTCCATACACTGCCTAAGTTGACAAGGTTATGCCTTTTTATGTGGCGGCTAACACAAACAATTCACAGGCCATAAGTCATTGTCTTTGTGTTCTTGCTCCACCATAAATCACATCCTAAAGCACCCTGGAGACGACATTAATCTTCATATATATATATATATATATATATATATATATATATATATATATATATATATATATATATACATATATGGGTGAGGAAGAGTTTTTTTTTTTTGCTTTATATATATAAAAACTCCTCCTTACCCACCTTGGGCTGTCTCCCTTTTTTCCTCCAAGTTTGGATCCCCTGCAGAGCTCTGGGAGGTTGAAGGTTCAGTATTTTTGCTGTTCCTAGAACTGCACTTTTCTGGACCAATATGTCTGACATATTTCTAGGGATCTGCTGGAACTATTCCTCAAGTTTGGGGGTCACTGCCCCGAGTGCCCCAATGACCATGGGCACCGTTGATGCCTTGACCTTCCAGGTTTTCTCCAGCTCTTCAATGAGCGCCTAGTATTTCTCTAGTTTCTGATGTTCTTTTTTCCTTTTTTCCTGACTTTTTTCCTATATATATATATATATATATATATATATATATATATATATATATATATACAATAAATGAAAAACAAATGCTTGTTCATGATCAAATCAACTTATCTTACTCCTTGTAATGGTCTTAACAATACATACACATTCCTTATTATTAAGAGCTAAAAACTTTAACTTGTAGTCTAAAAGTAATGCATGCATGTTCTTTAAATATTTTACTTGATTATTTATCATTTTTTATGTTTAGCTTTTTTCCGGTGTAATTTTTCTGTGTCCAACACACTTTGGCAAGCCAGCTAGAGAAAAGAACCCCTAATGCTTTTACTGTACAGTAACTGAATATTACAGGAACAGGTTTTGGTTTAGTAACCTAGTGGGACTTATTAGGGCAGTGAAGGTGCATTGTTCACTGAATCGCATGCTTAACAGCCCAAATTTTGCATTTTTTACATGCATATTTGTATAAACATGGACCACTTAGATTTGACTCTACTCCCTGCTGTTTAATAGCTCAGTCAGGGCTTTTCAGACATCAGACTTACTTTATTTCCATCAGTGCTGAGCAAGTATGCTACGCGCTCCCTATGCTTTAGGCCAGACTACATTACGTTTGATTGGCAGCCATTTGTTTTGAGTGCTTTCTTCAATGTTTAAATGTAGGAAGCTGGTTTGGCAGTTCTTAGCATCAAAGAAGTCTTTTCGACAGATCAGTCAGGGTAACAGGAGGAATGTAGCTGCAGGATAATATTTTCACCACTTCCCTTTCACGTTAAAAGGGCCTCTGGTAAGGATGAAACTGAGGTAAAAGAAGAGACTTTTCTCAACCTCAACAGCCATCCATTACTATTTACCAATAAGCTCCATTAGAACATCTTAAATGTGGTTCTACCCCTGTTCTCCATGACCCTTGGAACTGGGAAGTTAGAGTGAAGCAATCTCTAAGGTAACATAGTCCACTTTTTCCCAATTATGGATGCTCAAATTCATCCTTAACTAATAATTGTTTTATCGGCAGATTTTGATTTTGATTGTCCTCCGGGAACAAAGGGTCTAGAGTATAACCAACCTGTTTTCCTGTATCACAGACCTAAAGGTGGACGGCAGTACCTAGGGTGACAGCTTGTATACATAACTCAGCCACTCCGCTTGGCAATTCTGCTCATTTTGGGCTCAGACATTGATTGAGATCCATACAATCTGCGTTCTGTCTACGGTTGCACTGTGTTTGATCTCCATGCTTTGATCTTGAAAAGATTCTTCAGTTCTGACATACCAAGGGGAAAAAAAAGGTCCTTTAGCTCCTTAGATGTGACTGTGAACCCTAAAATAACCTCAGAGCTCGGTGTATCGTCTTACAAAGAGATAGTGTGATGACTGAACCCACTGACTGGCACTTCATAACAATGTCTAGTTTCTCTTTTAGGCAACACAATCTTGATGAAAACTGAATCATCAAAAATAATAATTTCATTTTCTATAATATGGACATTGAAGTAGACATATATTTAAAGTTATGCTTGGTCTAATTATATTTACCTTTTCACTCATTAACAGTCAATGCTGTTTGTTAAATATTAGTTGATTTTGAATATCTTAAAAAAGTCAGAGAGTTCTTTACTTAAGTTTTTCCGAAACATTTTGGTCTGTGACCCAATAATAACAATGCAACAGACTGGAAACTCCCTAAAAAAGTCATACAAATATGTTACTCCATATGTATTAATGCATATAAAGCTACATGAGTAAATGCACTCATAAATCAATAAATTTTTTAGCGTCAGTATTTCACTCTGCATATTATTAAGTAATTTTAATAATCTAATGGCACGTTTAATTATTAAAGTGCATAATTAATATTTGCATCATGTATTAGATAGATCAGAAAATATTTATTTCATTCTCATTATATATTTTGAAAATCACCTGTCAGCATTTTACTGTCACTTTCAGCTTGAATGGAGCGGTTTGTTTTGGCAGACGGACCATAGAGCAGAGGAAAAAAGGCTGAGAAGACTTAACAAGTCAGAGGAGCAGCATCTGCTGTTGCCGCATCTCTAGCAGGAATCGGGCCTTAAAAGGTAAAAGCTCCTGGAAGCAGATCAATGCTTTTAAAAATCAGTCTGGAATTTAAGAAGAGCTTTGTGTATTGCAGTCAAAAGCAGGAGGTGGGATGGCTGCACAGAAGCAAACTTCAACAGCCTTGACAAACAGTTGGGCATGTGGTTGAAGATCTACGCTATAGCTGCTGAAATCATCATACAGTAAATACTAATTTGATTTGTTTTTATATCTGTATATAGTGTTCCAATCCCTAAAGACACCAACCAATGAAATGTATCCTTAAAAAGCGAACTTATAGCACCTTATTATTACACTTCTCATTGTACAGAGAATATCTCTTCTTATTGTCTTTCCTCCATCTTCCCTGATTACCACTTAAGCTCACAAAAAGTCCCTACTATAACATGTCGGACATTTTTTAGGGCCTGTGGGACTTTCTGAATTATGAACAACAATGTTATATTTCGATGAGATCTAAGATTTTTCTTAAAAAGATTTAATGGGGAACTGCTTTTAGTCTTATGATATTTTGGAAATACAGAAAAGGAAGGTATGTGTTTAGTTTGTAAAATATCATTGCAAAGATAGTAGTGAACAGTAGACATAATGATTGTGAAAAAATAAAGATAATTAATTTTAAAACGAACTTATGAAAAGACTTTTCAGACGAGTCCAATGAGGAAATAGATGCTGATGTGTGCCCCAGTGGCCTAAAGGATAAGGCACTGGCCTCCTAAGCCAGGTATTGTGGGTTCAAGTCCCATCTGTGGTAAACGCTACTACAAAAGTGCACTGGAAGCATTCCAGTTGCAGGACTTAACACCAAAGTCAGTGTTCAGCTCTGAGTTGTTGCACCTATTGGTTAGAGGAGGGTGCTTGAAGTACTTGGTTTGAGCCCCATGACCTGCTCTCTGAGGACACCTCACATTGCTAAATGCAGAGAGTGAATTTGGTTGTTTTGTACCATCTTTTATAGCACATCATTCTGTAGCAGCAAAGAAGCCGCAGGCCATCATGCCACCAACACCATATTTGACTGTTGTTTACACACAGTATTTTCATCAGAATATTTGTTGGATGATTTGAGACGGGTCTTTGTGTAGTGATCAGCATTACCTTTTCTAACAAACAGCTTTTTTTATGGATCAGTGCTTCTAGTTCCTTTTGTATGTCCACTTCTATCTCCTTGACCCTCAGTCTAGAAGTTCCTTTCTATTAAAAGGGGCTTTTTTCCTCTCCACTGTCACTGTATGCATGCTCGGTGTGAGGAATTGCTGCAAAGCAGAGGTCTCCAACCCTGGTCAAGACCCACTGTCTACCAGCATGTGTTAGGTGCTCCCCTACCTACACACACGTGACTTAAAACAAGTGAGTGATTAAGAGACCTCTTCAGCCTTTGGAGGATGCTGACAAGTTAATGTGATCATTTGGTGCCAGAGGCACATCTAGAACTTGCAGGACAGTGGGCTCTGAGGACCAGGGCTGAAGGCCTCTGTCAGTCTCAATGAGTTGTGATGTGATAAATATGTCATTAAACGAATTCAAAAATTTTAAAGGTTTAAAAATTTTACTGACACAGTGAAAATAGATGTATTTGATATTTCCTCCTCAGTTCATCTCTACCGGACAGATGTAGATTAGATTTATCTGCTGCTGTAAAGATCAAGCAAGGCTTACAGATGCAGCAGACACATCATTGATCTGTTTAGTTTAACAATGTTTGGTGGAAATCACAGAGATATGAAACAAGTAAGGTTTTACTGCACATACAGTTGTGCTTGAAAATGTACATACCCCCCATGAAAGAAAATAATACATTTACACTAGAAATTCAAATAACCTAAAACTGGAAAAAGTAATAATAAAGATAAAAATTTGCTAAACTAAAAACATTGCAAATGAGCATCTAATATTTTCCAGTCATATAGAAGTGGGACACAGTTTTTGTAGTTCTTACAATGGTAGACTCGTTTCTATAGAGAAGGTGCAAAGCATGATTTGAAAACAGCTTTTAATTTTTTTCTCATGTTGTGTGATTTTTAAATTAGCTTGTTGATAATTCCGGACATTTAAATACCAAGTAAGGCCAAAAAGGGGAAGGAAATTCTTCATAGCCCAGTAGAATGAATGCAGCTTGTGCATAAAATACTAAAACCATTTTATTTGATTCTGTCATATGTAAAAGTTATTAGATATATTTATTTTTCTAAACAAGCTTTCATAAATGAATATGCTCTTTAAAATTGTGTATTATTTTTGTAATTTTATTTTAATCTATTTTTAAGGCAGACTGCATGTGAGACTCTGAATATTATCAGATTGAGATACAAAAAAAAAAAAAAAAAAGACATCCCACCTTCCCAATTACCTGTCCGTCCTCACCTTTGGCATCTCTGGGCATGGAAATAGGGCTGTTTTTTTGACCATGAATCAGACCTTCAGAGCCTCTCCATCTAAATGACTTCCTCAGGTCAGAGGTCAATGTCCCATCACTCACTAAGCCGTGCCTGATTAGCTGGTTGGGTCAAAGTCCCAGGATGGTTATTTACTTAGAGGAATCTTCACGCACGATTTTCTTCAAGCAAGATTTCCTGTTTTCCATATTGAACTTGGTGAACATGTTATTCTACATGACAATAGATTTGTTAGTTTCTGCATTGTTAATTGTTAATCATTTTGTTGCTTCAAGTTTATTAGTAAAACTAACAAAAAAAAAAGCTTTATTTCTTTTGTTTAATTTTCTGTGTTGTTAAAAAGACCTTTGCGTTTTATTTAAAGCTGGCCCGATAATTATTCTAACCTTGGTTTTATTTCTCCAACATGACACACCATCCTGTTTTCGCAACCCCACCCTTTCCTAGCAATCTCTGACTATTATTCTCCCTTGAATCGCTGCTGACTCGAGCCGCGGCCTGCTGCTCAGGCTGCGGCTGAGTTTGACTGCGATCTAAAAGACTGTCGATGACACATTTGTGTCAGGAAGCAGCTTTGGTCACCGAATACTCTTTAGAAACACAAAAGAATTGCAGAAGGCAATATTTACATCAACAGCAACGTTTAGGGCAACAACAATGCAGCCCCCACGCTGGAGTGGGTGTCAACAAAGCAACGCCTCACCAAGTCTAATTTTCAAATTAATTTGCCCCCACAGACTCGGCCTATAGAGCTCAATGGGGAGGAAGAAAGAACGAGTAATTGTGTTTTGTTTTATACTTTTATCAGCTTCACAAACATGGTGGCACAAACAAAGTATCCTTTCTGTGCCGTTTCCTTCCACTCTGATTGGACTAATTTGGACCTGTTGACAGCGAATCCCATCCGTGCAGGAACAAGCCAATCAAATCTCAGCGTCTGTCATCCCTGGCACAAGGAGCTTCCAGCCCCCCTCCTTCATAAAGGCCTTTGTCTCTGTGACCTAACTGACCTGGAGCATTTTTTAATATGGAAAGTCTGATTAAGTCTCTCAAAACAGGACGCGAGGCATTCTGCTCTAGAGCTTTTGGTTCAAAGGATGAAAGCTGTTCTTTATGACATTACAAGCTTTCTAAATGCAGTCATCAGCAAGCAAGCACGCAGTATAAAGATACTATGAGCAAAAAAAATAAAACAAAAAAGAACCAGGGTTTTCCAGAATATATCATTAAAAAAGTCACCAAAATTATATTTTTCTTTTGTTGCTTTAATTCGGTTGAAAAGTTAAAGACTGATAAGGCATCTGCATATAGACATCTTGTGCATTTTTTCAAAAGTTGTAAGAATTGTTCAAATAGGTTAACAAAGCCGTTGCACAAACAAAGTTATTAAGATATTTATCCAAGGTAATAAAGGAAGTCAGCATTTGTGATCAGCCTTTGATAGAGAATGAAAAGGTTCACATCCTGTTGCTTATTTAAACTATTATTTGAAAGAAGACACCTTTAGTTTGAACTGCTTTTGGGTACAAACAGGAAACAGCCACAGTGTGACAGAAAAGATTAGATGAATTATTTGAACTGTGAGGATTTTATGATTTGTAAACAAGAACTGGCTTCTTCTTTCCTACTCAAAATGCCAAAATTGTCTATCCTGTCTTGTGAGCTGGAACTCATATGAATTCTCCATGTGTTATGTTTGATGTGCGAACATTAAAGAAACAGACTTATCTCAAGATGATATTTTCACAGTTTGACCTTTTTAGAATTGATTTTAGTTACAAAATTGGAAAAAGAGAAGAAACATTGTATTAAAATAAACAGATTGAAGTAAACAAAACCATTCAACATGTTCTGATCTAAAAGAAAATAAGTGTCTCAAATCAGTACAGCAAACTATAAGATATAAAGTTCATTGATCTACTGGCCACATTATTGTGATCAACGGCACTTAGTTCAGCCAACCATTTATAAAGTTTTATGTCAAACTTTTTCAAATCAGTCTTTCTTACAGACATTTCTTATTGTTTTTTATTTGCTTTCATTTTGCTCTACTAAAAAAACATGAGAACATACTGAGTTCTGTAGTGCATCAAGTCAATTAAGAGAAAAACAAACCAGTGGACATAAAGTCATGGACTGTTGACATATTTGAATAGACCAGTTTCAACAGGAGTAATTAAATGCCCATTCATGGAGCATTGGCAGTAAGTAGGGATACATTTTTGAAGTATTTTTAAAATTGAGGTCTAGTCCGGTGGTCAGCTATAGTTACTTGGCTCTTATATATGGAGATAACATGTCCTTGGGTTTATGGAAAAGTAGTGTAATTCTCTAATTGGTGGAAACTAATCACCAAGTAGGATGTTTGATTTTTTTTTTTTTTTAGTTAACTAATATTAACTAACATGTGGAGTTAATGTGGTTGAGCCTGCTCCCAGTATCACTCCACTGAATCAGATGAATATCATCAGTCTCCTATTACTTACTTCATTGAGGATAGTATTCTACGCTGTCCAGTTTTCATAGTTTTAAAATGATCCCAGTGGGTAAAATATCATTGGAAATAATGTGGCCAATTGGTACCATGCAGAGATGAAGTCTTGCTGGTGCTATGAAGAAACAAAAAAATAATAATAATAATTATTGGCTCATAGGTTATTCTCACACCCTGCATTTATTATAAAAGATTAGATTTTTTCGGATGCAGACCACTATAACATGTATAACATCTGACTTACGCTTTAGTATTTTAGATTTAGAGGCTTTAGATTCCCTTTTTTAATTATTCAAGAATTAAATACACATTAAATTAAATATTCAGGACTGACTAATTTGAATTGAAAATGCACAGATAATCTTTATCTTCAGAATATTTAATTTTTATTCATATTTTCAATATATTTTTATTGCAGTATTTTCACCTTTTCTATCAATTATTTAGAAAATTAGCAATTAATGTCCTATCACTATTTTTATACATCCTTTACAGCTCTGGATAGAATAGCCTTTAGTGGCAATTTTACAATGAAACTTACCTTTTATAAGTTAGTCTTAGTCTTTTTTAGCTAATCTGTAACTCATGCCGGTGACACACCTACAGAGATGTTTGTTAAAAGAAATGTAATGAGACCAAGCTAATTAGCTAGCTGGACAGTATGCATGACTTTCATACAGGAGTCTGGGGATCAAATTTGGCTTGGGCCCTCTATTGACTACCATGCCACAATATGTATATATAAAAAATATATATATCATTTATTTTTTGTCTTGATAATAAGGGCTGATAATACATATACTGTACATAGAACCTCGAAAATTACTTTATAAAGCCATGAAAACTGAGCAGAGCACCATTCATACTTTCACACCTGATATCCTGTATGTCTGACTAGTTTCTAGCATTTCCACATCTTTACAGAGCAATACTAAATAAAAAATGAAATCATTTAAACCCTCAATGTTTCAATTTCAATTAAATTAAATTCAGTTTATTTATATAGCGCCAATGACAACACATCATCTCAAGGCACTTTACAGTTCACCAGATCACACAGTCAAATTGATTTAAAGTTGTGATTGCATCGACTTGTTGACTCCAATGCAATCCCTCACACTGAGCATGCTTGTAGCGACGGTGGAGAGGAAAAACTCCCTTTTAACAGGAAGAAACCTCCAGCAGAACCAAGCTCAGTGTGAGCGGCCATATGCCGAGGCCGACTGGGGTTCAAGGAGACAGAAGCAGAGATGCAAAAAGCAACTTAAAAAGGCGGCCCCGTCCAGGAAACACACAGCCAGACAGACGAGCTCTGAGCCAATGTCAGAGGATGAACAGAGTACATACAGCCAGTCACTGTTAGAGAAACAGGACTACACTGGAAAAACAGGCCGAATCTACAACTTCTCCAACACAGGGACTGCCAATATTCTTGATGGTAAAATAATTTTTTATTATGGTTTCTATTGTCTTAAAACCAACTTATTTATCACTTTTCTGAAACTACAACCAAACAACAGTTTGTTCCTTTCCAGTAGATGTTTTTTTTTTCTTTTTAAAATGTTGAAGGGGGCTCTGTTGTTTATAAATTTTTTTTTTTTTTTTGCATGATTTAGGTTACAACTCAGGCTTTGACCTTATGCAATCACAAATTTATAACTTAAGAACTTTGAACATTTTAGCACCAGCCTTCTAATCCAACTTCAGTGCAAGCAGCTTGTTTATATCTATAAACTAGAATTTTCACACAATAAACAAGGTCATAAAAACACTTTTTGGAAAATAAAATAATAAAAAAAAATGTAAAGGAAAATGAGATGGCCATAGAAAACACCCAAAAGTTTGTTAGCAATTGTCTAAGCAGGGAAGCCTACAGTGTAAAGTTTCCTGTGGAGGTAAACTGGACTTTGCTAAAGTAGATGTGAACAGGTAGAGAGATGCATCCTAATTACTTTCCAGTTTTCTTTCCTCTGCTTTAAAGATTTTTTTCGTGTCAAGAGACAACGGCACCTTTGCTCTGGCAGTAAGCCGAGACAAATGACCAGTAAAAGACTGAGACCACAGCAGCTGGCAGAAAGACTCTTGACTCCATTCAGAGTCTCCCAGAGCAACTCATCCTTCAGCACCATTATGACCCACTAATATATAGGCCAGCACCTGTCTTTGGTGGGCCAGGACTCCCCTCTTCCCATCACCTTCGTCTTCTGGAGGGGTGGAGAAGCCTGGTGATCCCCATCCATCCTAAATGCTAAGCAGACCGACGAGAAAAGGCAGTTGTGATGAGAGAGAACGAGAAGAGTATGCACCCGTAACCTCTTTGTGCTTTTAACCACCGCCTTTCTTGTATTCCACGGTCATGTCCACACAATAGAGTCCTAACAGCAGCTGTCAGCAGACAACACTACGGTAACGCTACGGGGGCTGGATCATGTTAGCTCTGTGTTTGTGCAACACTGAAAGCCTGCTAGCTACGGTTAAAGAGTGTTTTGTGTTGTTTTCTAAAGAGGTGTGTGGCACCTTTCAGCTTCATGTTTACAGACACCAAACGCCACTGAAAGAGAGAGCATCTGATAACTGGAGGAACGGGAAGGCTAAACATGCTTTTTATTTTCTTTAAAATGGTATATAAGATGTCCGGTAGAGGGCTCCACTTTGCTTGATCGATATAGTGAGGTGTTGACATGTCATTTTGCTCTGGCAGAACAGAGATAGCGAGGCTGAGAATGGAGACGCTGAGAGACGGCAGCAGGTGAATTGTCCTGACAGCAGATACAGTGTATCAACGTGCTGCTTTTAAGTGTGCGGTTTGGATTCAGTGTGTCCCTACATGTAGAGCTCTGTTTGGCAACAGCCTGTGAAAGCGATACTTGTCGCCATCCGCATTGTGTATTTGCCTATGTGTTTATGAGTTATAACCATGTACACAGAGCCACGAGCCAGCTGCAGACTTTATTTGTTTGATACATGTAATTAATTCACAAAGGACCATAAGAGCTTTAGACTCAGAGTACAAAGGAGTTGGGCTGCTGTAACAAGGTTAGGTTGAATCGGCTGATGATTTTGTTTGTTGGGAACCAATATTTAGGCAGGTGTCTCAGCTGAAAGGGATCAACAATGCATACACACATGAGGGCAAAGCATCCTCAGCCAAGGGCTTAGGACTTCATTTATTATGGCTCACTTAAGCATTCAGACCTTTTCAAGTTTTTTTCTTAAGTTAGAATCACGATCCTTAAAAATTGTTTGTCTTTTCCATGTGATAGACACAAAATAGTGCATAATTTTGTATATGCAATAATCTTTTTAAAGAAAATAAAATTTGGCACACAGTTGTATTTTGTCTCTTTTCCTCTGACTCCTATGTATAAAATCTACTGTTATAATTATTTTCAGAGGCCATCTTAGTACATTTCTGGTGCATTCTTTAAGAACATTAGCAAACAAACAACATAAGAACAGAACAGCAGATAAGGGGGAAAGTTAAGGAGAAGTTTTTGACACGGTTAGGTTAAAAATATGTCAACCTTCAAACAAATTTCCTGCACTAATATATCCTTACCATGAAAATGGAAGTGGTATTGAACAGTGTAATCCACTATTGCTCACCTAAACTGACATGCTTGGTGTAAAGAAGTTTAGTCAGAAAAGCAGACAAGAGGTCGATGGGAACTTAGGAGGCACTACAGAGGTCTACAATTCAGATGTAATAATCTGTCAACATTAAAACTATTAGTACTGTTAAGCAAAAACACAGGCTTTGTGGAAGAGTGACAAGATAAGGGTAATTTTTAAGGCAAGGTCAGAAAAACATCTGGTTGCTGTTGTGACCACAAGCCATGTAGAGAAAACAACATACAAAAATGAAGTTGTAAAAGTTATCTCTGCAGAGCACTTTTTGACCTACTTTTAGACCCTATGTGGCAAATCTTACAGATGGAGGGAAATCAACAGTACCCATTATACTAACACGTTTTTTCTTTTTTTTTCTTTTCATATGGACTGTGATGCTAAAGTCAGCCTTATCCCATTACAGGCTGTAGAAGACTGACTGAGAGAGTGCTCATTTTTCAAAAGGATGATGACCCAAACATACATGGGAGCTAGTGTTTCAAACTGATGTATTGCATATTCGTATGCTAGACTGACTCAAAGTCCAGACCTAAAGATACCGCAAAAGAAAAACACTTATTTTATGGCAAAGCTTAAAAAATTATGTTTAATCCATAAAGATGTGCATGTGCTGATCAATAAAAACCACAAGAAACTGTTCAGATTTTACTTTTCAGAAAATATCACATTACATTATTTTTTGTTTATATACATAACATATTATTTCTATACATCCTTGGTTATAAAACTCTATAGCAGACTAATAAAAAGGGGCTTGAAATGCAGATAATGTTTTGTAGCTCACTGACCATTAGATGACAGTAATGCATAGCTGAGCTGTTGCATCCACTTTCATGGCCACTGATTTTCTTCCTTCTCAAAAATGACAAACTTTTTTGGATAAAAACTTGTTTTAAAAAGCAAAAAAGGGTCTGTATAATCTAGCTGGGTTCCCAGATGGTAAGCTGGTCAGAGTCTGACTTGCTGTAAAGCAGAACATAAGGAAATATGCTTGAGAAGAGTTTTTTTCTGGCCCTAATAAGATATTAAGAAGCGTTTGAGTGCATCAGTCCAAACAAGCAACCCAAGGATTGATAGTAGTTATCTCTAAAAAATAATCTCTATGTTTGTATGCCCAGTTTCTGCAAATATTTGTATTTTCTGGGAGATGCATTGCTTGAAAAAGGACCTTTAGAAAACCAGAGGTTTTTCCACTTTGTCTATAGATTGGCTGTCAGCAGCGGATCACATGTCAAATTCCAAAATGGGGCAACCCACAGACAAACAAACAAGTGAGTGAGCAGTGACACATCTTACAGAGTGAATAACTGAGGTAGCTGACTGCTGGAGCTTTAATGTGGTCTAGCTTTTATCTGTGAGACAACACAGGACAACTTTAGAGGACCTCGGGTTAGGAGAGCACACACTACATCAAACTAGTCTTATCTACAGGCTTCACCCACTATACATTTGTTTTACCTCAGCCTCACGAGATCCTCCCTCCAGTGAAATAAGAATTCCTTCTCACTTTTATTGAGACTGCTGATAGTGTAGAGGTAAAACTGATGCATATTTAATTTAAGTAGCTTAACTTTTTCCTTTGAACTTTTTAAGACAAGTTCTTTGAAATTAAAATCCACAAAAGGGGGGCACACAATTTTGTCAACCAAAGACTGACCCAGGGAAAAAAACTTTGGCAACTACTGTGTAAGAATAACAAAGACAGAACACTCTAAGAATGTAAAACAAGAAAAAAAAAAATTTTTACTGGTTAAGCCAATTTTGGTTAGATTAACCAGGATACTTCTCATAAACTGACCAAGCCAAGAACAATTCCAATGATGTGTATATAAAGCATGCAAATCTTGTAAGTAATATCAAATTCCAAGAAGTTTATGTGGTAACAGATGCGTCAGATGCAGTAGATTGCCCTGCAATCATAGGAATGGTGGTTCAAACCCTGTTTTTTGGTTTTCAATGTTGCTACACTAATTAACTGATAATTTGACCAAAGTTACCAATTTGTGTTGGTTTGCCCTTTTACCAATATAGTCTAAAAACACTATTAAATTAGATTGGTTGGCCATAGCCCTGCGATGGACTGGCAACCTGTCCAGGGTGTACTCCGCCTCTCGCCCATTGACAGCTGGAGATAGGCACCAGCACCCTTCATGACCCCACTTGGGATTAAGCATGTAAAAAAATTGATGGATGGATGGATGGTTGGTCATATGACTGCCAACCAGATTGATAAAATTCACCCAATTTTATGACTATATTGATCAATCTGTTTTAGCGAGTTTAAAGTGACTTTTAAACACTCCTGGTGTTCAGGCGTTCAGAAGTTCCATTAGTCAGGAGGTGAAATCTATACCTGAAAGCAACTTTGAATCATATGTTTGTAACTCTATCCAAACTTTAAAAACAAAGTGAGGAACATAGTCAAAGAATATCCTGAGAAAATTTCTATTGAGTCTGAAAATACGTATAATAGGGAGATGGTTTATTTCATAAGATGAAGGAAGTTTCTTTAGGAGTACAAAAGGACAAGCCTTTAAATAATTGTTAGTATACTGTTGTTACTGGACTTACTTCGAGTCAGACATGGCAGGCTTGAACCTAGTAACATCTTTGTTGAAAGTGGGCCATCAAACTAAAAGACCAACCAAAAGCCTACCCTTTGGTGTGCTAGAATACTTGTGCCATGTGGGCTTAACTTATAAGTCATGAGCAAACATAGATGTTTATGAAACTATGGTTCAGTGGACCCGTACCAGGGTCTATTTCAGACCATTGGACAAATTGAACCAGGGGCTTCATTTTAAAAGGTAAAGTACACAAAATATGGGCCTAATACTGATATACCTCATGTTCAATGTAAAAGTTGTGACCTAAAAAAAAAATTTGACTGGAAAATGTGAGGTTCTCTGATCCATGCATATGATTGTTTTGGACACAGGAAATTATAACAACACACAGGGTGAAATGGGGAACTGGAGACACACATCTCCTTGGTTCCTGCAACACATTTAATTTCATTCCACAGAAAACTTGAATCAAAGATCAAATATATCGCAAGCATTTAAAACTGCAGTGTTATTTATGCTACTGGTGCTACTGAGCTGTATGTTAACACAAGGACCTTCCAATAAATAAATAAGGCATATATGCTAATTTTTTTAGTTTTTTTTTAAAATGACATATTCAAAATTTTCTGATGATTACCGGGGTATATGCGCCACCGATTAACACAGATGTTATGATAAGGTGTGACGCATTCACATTAATTGCTGTAAATGGTTTAAATATGTTGCAATATACTTGTGTCTAAGACTTTGCAATGAATGCTTTAGCATTGCTGGCAATGCCTGGCAAATGGCGGAATTTTAAGGGATCAAAATGATTTTGTGGCTCATATTGAAACTTACCAATGTTAAGACTTCCAAGAGCATTTATATTGGATCTGTTTGCTGAACTGGGTCCAGTATTGGAGAGACAGCTTTACCAGAAACAGATCAGCCCTATACGGCTGAACAGTTGAAAACCACCCTGGATTCCCTAACAACCAGTTTTTGTTTTTTTTATCAGCACAAATACCACTAGTGTTAATATGAGCAGTCCATATATTAAAAAGGTAAAAATTTGCAGCTCACAGCAATTCATTGTATTTGTCATGTCAGTACTTTGGCTGTCTAACAACATTTTTTCAACTCCCTACGTCACTCTTCAACGCATCAAGTTCTGCCTCAATACAATTGCTTTTCTTTGTTCTTTTCTCAGAGGCTGCTGTTGCTAACATTAAATAATATTGGTCATCAGGCTAATTCAAATACACATTAACATTCATTAAAGATATTGTGGAGGATTTTCTCAAAATTTTTAAAAGACATCTTCACTAAAAAAAAAGAGCCTGCACAGAAATATCCTTGGTCTGAAAGAGCCCTTTTCTCCTCGTGCACAGTCTGTTTAAAAGTTGCTGTTCTCATTGCTCATACAAACTTACTGTGCAGAAACGTCCTCCCTAACCCCTAAATCCCTCACTCACTATATAGAGCTGGGACTTTATAGTGAACTCAGTTAACTTACCGTTTGGGCAGATGATCACATCCCTGTTGGTCCGCTGTGCAGTGCCTGCGCCATCTTTGTTATTAGTAGCTGCTGTTGGGTAGTGGCAACCTATGGCGACAGCGGGGTCCGCTGTGACAGCAAACCCCATTATGCTTTGATCGGGGAGTTCTCTGCGCAAAGCATTCTGGGATATATCTGCCTCTTCTGAGTCCTTCCTTTTCTTCTCATACACTTCGTAGATACTTTTTCTCTGATGACCTTCGGCTGATCCGTCTCCGAAGCGAGCCATTCAGCTTCGAACTACTCCACCATGAAGCCCAATCAGCGTCCTGCTCTCTCTTTATATCCCAGCCGCTATC